TGTCTGAGCCAGGAAGACGGATAATGGCTGGACATGTGGCGGGAGCTGGAAATGGAAAGGTCAACTCCCAGTACCTCAAAACAGTGAAAGTGGCAGTGGGGGACCACAGGCAAAAATAGAGCCTGACTCACTCTGGAACGTGTCCCAGCCACACCAGGCACTGGGCTCCAGGCTTCCTGCCTTGGCGCCTCCTTGGACGTTTCAGAGGAAAGACGGGCTCTGCCAGAAAAAACACTGGGCTCTCCGAGAAGCCTGGCAGCAGTGGGATAAAGGGGAGCCTGGGAAACATCTCCCCACTCCGCTAAAGATGTTTTAGAGGATTCACAGGCCCATACTGGGGCTGCCTTCCTAAGCTCTCTGAGTTTTTTTTCCTTATCAAATACCCAAACGGGCAATGTAGAGTCAAGGATGGGATGGATCTCTCACTGGACCAGCCAGACATAGAAACCAGCATTTGTCCCATGGACCCTCAGGCAAGAGGCTTAGTCTCTCAGTGCCTCAGTTTCCTCCTCTGTAGACTGGGCCTCAGTAATAATAGTTCTTATGCTTATGATCGGGACAGAATTCACTAGTGTGTTAGCTATCCAGTGCTGCTCATATAGAAATACCAGAACTAGATGACTGTTATTGTTAGGTACCATCGAGCTGCTTGCAACTCATAGCAACGCTATGTACAACAGCTCTAAACCCTGCTCTGTCTTGTGCCAATCTCACCGTCTCTGACACACTTACTCTCATTACCCCAGTCACTGAATTGATCCATCTCATTGAGAGGGTCTTCCTCTCCTGCGCTGTCCTTCCACTCTCCCAAGCATGACATTCCTCTCCAAGGACTGGTCCCTCCTTGCAACATGCCCAAAGTATGTCAAAGCTTCAGAATCCTTGCCTCCAAGGAGAAGCCCAGTTTCACCCTCTCCAGGACAAACCTGTTTGTTCTCCTAGCAGTCCATGGTACATTCAACACTCTTCTCCAGCACAACTGCTCAAAGGCGTCAATTATCTTTCTGTCATCCCTAGTCACCGTCCAGCTTTCTGATACATAGCACGCAATTGTGAAGACTATGGCCTAGATGTGGTGCACCTTAGTCTCCAGCCTGACATCGTTGCTCTTCAGTACTCTGGAGAGGGCCCTGACAGCTGACTTTTCCAATGCAATTCATCTCTTGATTTCCTGGCTACTGTTACCAAGAGTGTTGACTGTGAAACCAAGCAAACTAAAACTGTTAATTATCTCAATCTTTTCATCATCCATCATGATGCTGCCAATTGGCCCCGTGGTGAGAATCTTTGTTTTCTTGCTGTTGAGCTTCAATCTGTAATGAAAGTTGCAGTCCATGACCCTCTGCAGCAGGTGCTTCAGGTCCTCCTCAGTTTCAGCAAGCAGGGTTATGTCACCTGCATAACACAGGCTGTTGATGAATTGTCCTCCAATCTTTACAAACAAATTTATTATCTCCCAGTTTAGGAGGCTAAATGGTCCCATTCACAGTGTCAGCGCGAGGGAAAGGTGTTCTGTTACCTCCCACTTCCTTTCAGCACCTGTGATTTCCTCATTCTCTGGAGACCTGCATGTGTCTTGACATCAGTATTTCCCTGGATTCAGGAGGTTCTGGGTACAGGTCCTGGTACCACGCTCTGTTCCCAGCTCTTTTTTTTTTGTAGTAATAGTGCCCCCTTTCTCTGCTAGCTTGGCTCTTTTTTTAAGTTAAAGGATATTGCAGACTACATCAATAGCATCACATTCATCATGAAAGAGAACATTTCAAAATCCATCCTGAAGGCCAGTGCTTTCAGTCATGTTGTTGTTGTTGTTGTTATGTGCCACCGATTCGCTTGTGACTCATAGTGACCCTATATACAAGAGGCCTAAATGCTGCTCTGTCCTGTGCCAACCTCACCTTCTCCAACACACTCACTCTCACCACCCCAATCACAGAATCGATCCATCTCATCGAGGGTCTTCCTCTCCTGCGCCGTCCCTCCACTCTCCCAAACTTGATGTCCCTCTCCAAGGACCAGTCCCTCCTTGCAACATGCCCAAAGTATGTCAAACGAAGCTTCCGAATCCTTGACTTCAGCCCAGTTTCATCCTTTCCAGGACAAATCTGTTTGTTCTCCTATCAGTCCATGGTATATTCAACACTCATCTCCAGCACCACAGCTCAAAGGCATGAATTATCTTTCTATCATCCCTATTCACTGTCCAACTCTGATGTATAGCACGCAGTTGCGAAGATGATAGCCCAGATCAGGCGCACCTTAGTCTCCAGCCTGACGTTATTGCTCTTCAGTACTCTGGAGAGGTCCCTGAAAGCTGACTTTCCCAGTGCAATTCATCTCTTGATTTCCTGGCTGCTGGTACCAAGAGTGTTGACTAAGAGCCAAGCAAACTAAAACTGTTAACTATCTCAATCTGTTCACCATCCATACTGATGCTGCCAATTGATCCTGACATGCTTGCTGCAGAGGGTCAAGGACTGCAGCCTTCAATACGGATTGAAGCTCAACATCAAGAAAACAAAAATTCTCACCCCTAGACCAATTTCAGTCATCGGATAATTAATATTTATACACTTACAAGGAAGACTGGTTAATGTGACTGTTATTCAGATTTATACATTAAACATTAATGTCAAAGGTGAAAAGTTGAGGATTTTAACCAGCTTCTGTGATGTGAAATGGAATTACAGTCAAGATGCATGAGTGGTTCCTGGAATTCCTGGAATGGAATAAGAAAGCTGAAAATGAAGAATAATTGGTGTTTGTAAAATATGACAGTGGAGACTGCATGACAGAATTTTGCAAGATCAACAGTTTATTTATAGCAGATATCCTTGCTCAACAACATAAATGACAACTATTCACGTGGGCCTCATTGGATGGAATGCACAGAAATGAAACAGACTGCCTCTGTGGCCAAAGATGTTGTTGTTGTTATTGTTAGGTGCTGCTGAGTCGTGTACAACTCATAACAACCCTATGAGCAAAAGATCTGAACCCTGTTCTATCCTGTGCTACCCTCACACTTCCCAACACACAAGGGCCCATTGCAGCAGTCACCGTGTCAGTCCACCTGGTTGAAGGTCTTCCTCTCCTTCACTGACCCTCCATCCTTCCAGCATCATGTCCGTCTCCAAGGAATAGCACCTCCTCACAACATGCCCAAAGTATGTGAGGCGAAGCCTTATCATTCTTGCCTCCAAAGAGCACCCTCTCCAAGATAAATCTATTCTATCTCTTGACTTTCCATGAGAGGTTCAGTGCTCTTCTCCAACACCACAGCTCAAAGGCTTCAATTTTTTTTATTGTCAGCCTTATTCATTGTATACTCAGATGCACAGCAAGTAATTGGAAAGACTATGGCCTGAATCAGACACACCTTAGTCCTCAAGCTGACATCATTACTCCTCAATAATTTGAAAGTATCACATATCAAGTGCCTGGTCCACTGCAGGATCTAGAGGAAGTATGATCTAAGTTTGAGCATATTAGTAATTTATTATCGCACACTAAGTCACCACAGAGTTAGTAGCTTAAAACAATAGCCACTGATTAGCCTATAATTTTTGTAAGTTAGGAGTACTGTACAGTGTGGTTAGATCGCTGTTCACTTGGTGGTTGTTATCTGCCGTCAAATTCACCCTCGAGCCCATCAACAAACAAATGGATAGAGAAGCTCTGGTATATTCACACAACAGAATACTATGCAGCACTGAAAAACAATGAATTCATGAAATATTATTCAAAACAGGTGACCCTGGAGAACATTATGCTGAGTGAAATATCTCAGTCACAAAAGGACAAGTATGGCATAGGACCACTGTTGTAAAACAAGACTGACATTGGGGTTGAGGGAAGACAAAGAAGGAGGGGATGAACGATTTATACTGCATTGCAACAGATGAGGGAGAAAACTGTTTCAAAGGGATATATGATTGGGTATTACTGTCATGAACAGGGGTCCAGAATAAAGGCTGCACAGTGGAGTGGACTTGGGAGGAGGGATTACAAAACAATGAAAGAGTTCTTCTTGTTCTTTTCAAGGAGAAGAGTGAATTAGAGGGAGGAGGTGGGCAGGGAGAAAAGTGCAACAGTGAATGAATGGAAACCCTAAGTCTCTGTAAACTTTCATTAAAATGAATAAAAATTTTAAAAAAATTCACCCTCGAATCAAACAGAATTGGAGGATTGAGAGCCATCACCTTTCTCCCTGGTGTGTTCAGAGTCCTGCAAGGTTGAAATCGGGGTGTTAGCCAGGCTGCCTTCACCTCAGGAGCTTCCGGACGAGCTCAGTACCTTGTACTGTAGGACTGAGGCCCCCATTTCCTTGCTCATTGTCAGCTCAGATCTGCTCTCATCTCCTACAGGCCGTGTGGCCCCTCTGTGTTCAAGGCCAACAACAGACATCCTCCCTTGTATCGTCTCCTTCTCCTGGCCAGAATCTCTTTGGCCAGGAAGAATCTTGTCCTGGTTCCCTAACCCTAAGTTATGCCACGACCCTGATGATAATCATCCTTTCTTCAAGTTAGCTGTACCAAATGCCGCCCCCCGAGAGAGGACTGGAGAAGAGTGTGGGTCATGGTGGGTTGTCTTTGAAATCTGCCTAACACTGTGAACTGTGGTGGTGGTGTTGTGTACCACTGTGTCGGATCCCACCCTTAACTGACCCTTTGGTGGGTTTTCAGAGGCAGTAAATCACATGGGAGGAGATTGCCTATCTTCTTCCCGTGGAGCAGATGGTGGGTTTGAACCGTGTCCCTTTGTGATTGCAGCACAGCTTCTTGCTACTAGGCCACCAGAGCTCTCTCACTATATAATATATATAGTGAACTAAATATGTTATTATTAGATTCCCCGAAGAGGCTCTCTGTTCTCCTAGGTGATTACTACCATGGGTGTCACACATGGGTGGTTACATGTGGCCCCGTGTAATTTCTCACTCCGTGCTCTGTCTCCTTCCTTATTTTATCCCATTGTGATGTATGTTATGGTTTCTGCAGGCGCCCTGGGGAGCCTCCCCTGGACCGGGGCACTGTCCCCTGGCTGGGCCACGCCTTGGAATTCGGAAGAGATGCCGCCAGTTTCCTCACGAGGATGAAGCAGAAGCATGGTGACATCTTCACAGTGAGTAATGCCTTTTGGGGAGAGGAGCTGAGCATCTGGTCCTGTCGTGTCTGGTGTTTAGGGGTTTCCTCAGCATCCATCCAGTGGTTCATCCCAACTTCTACCCATCTGTTCACCCATCTGCAACCCAACTCTTCTTTGACACAAATCTCTTCAATATTTCGGTATCTTCTTTCCAATATTAAGCTTACTCAATAGCTCCTCAATACGTGGACACTCATCCACCTTCCATCTTTCTATCCATCCACGCACCCAGCAGTCCCAGTAGCATTTACTCAACAGCATTTGTCTGTCCACCCAGACCTCACGTACCCTTGTATTTACTTATCCAGCTGTTTACGGTCATTTATCCAACTACATCCATCCTTCAACCCACCCATTTATCCGTCTATCCACCTATCCATGGACCTATCTGGCAATCACCCCACATATGCTGACCCAGCACGTCTGTCCATTCATCCACCGCAATGTGCTCAAGCTTCCGCTGACGTCTTCTTGAGGCAGACCCTCTCCTAACTTGGCCACGGCCAAGTGTACCATGAAGGGTACTTGATAGTAGGATGATTAAGAGCACAGCTTTTGGATTTAAAAAAACAACAAACTAATAACAAACCCATAGCCCAGCTTTTTCTCAACTATATAACTTGGGGCCATGGTGTTCCTTCTCTAAGCCTCTCCTGCAGTGATGGGGGTGGGGGTGGGATTATGGTTTCTGTCTCTCAGGGTTGTCCTGTGGGGTCAATGAAGGTGTCTGTGAAGTGTCTGCTGGGGGTAGTGACCACTGTGACTTTCTGTTGACCGTAGCAATGCTCTGACTCTGTCCGTGCTGACTCCCTCAGGTGCTGGTGGGGGGCAGGTATGTCACTGTCCTCCTGGACCCTCACTCCTATGACGCAGTGGTGTGGGAGCCGCGTGCCAAGCTGGACTTTCACACCTATGCTGTCTTCCTCATGGAGCGAATTTTTAACGTTCAGCTTCCGGATTACGACCCCAGTGATGAAAAGGCCAGGTTGAAACCGTGAGTGTCTGGAGGTGGCGCCCATTAGTGGGCTGGGGTGGGGGTGACCTGCTTTCACCAGCGTCACCCAAGGCCTGCGTAGCATATGCTTGGCTCCAGAGTAGGAGTCTATGGAAAATTATTTGATTTGCTTGAGACAAGAGACAGGTGAGGGAAAAAAAAAACCAAAACAAAAAACACTCAAAACTACTAGAAAGAACTGAGCTGAACAAGAATCTATCTTTTTTAAAAAAAAAAAATGTATTTTTTGTGTGCGTGTACTATCAAATCAAATCTGACTGGTACAGGAGGAGATTGTCCCTCCTTCTCCAGCAGAGCATCTGGTGGATTCAAACCATGCACCTCTAGGATTGCAGTGCAGCTTCTTGCCACTAGGCCACCAGAGTGCCCTAATAATCCCTTATCTTATCTCGTGTAGAAAGTAGCCCTGTTTTAGTAGGAAATTAGGGTTTGGGTCAGCCAGCCTGAGATGCACATCCTAGGTCTGCATGTTCTTTCTTTGTGAACTTGAACCCATCGCTTTCCCTTTTCAAGTCTCCATCTTCTCATCTATGAAATGAAGGGGACTCCGTGGGATGAAGTATTTTTTGAGTCTATACTCCGTGCAGGCACCACGCATTAGCTCTTTGGTCTTTATGACAATGTAGGTGGGTAAGTGACTTGTAGCCCCGTTTTACAGATGAGGACACGGGGGCTCAGCGAAAGAAGTCATTTGCTCTAGGTCACCACTAGGAAGTGCTTCCGTTCTTGAAACACTGGGAACTGTATCAACAAAAGGATGTATTTCCTCTACATTCGTTCAGCAAACACTTGAGGGCCCACTGTGTGCCTGTCACTGTTCTAGACATAGACAGTGTGGAATAATGTCACCCACTATTTTGTGCCATGGGTTTTATAACATACTTTTGTATATTAGCCATAAGAAGTAAATGTCTTATCTTCATCTTATGAGCAAGGAAACTGAGGCCCAGAGAAGTGAAGTAACTTGTTCCAGGTTCTCCACGAGAAAGTGACCAAGTCTGGATTTGAGTCCAGGTGCCCTGACCACTCAGATCATTCCCATCTGCCTGAGATACCAAGGCAAATAAGACCCTGTGTCCGGCCCTAATAAGACCCTGTGTCTGGCCCTAATAAGACCCTGTGTCTGGCCCTAATAAGACCCTGTGTCTGGCCCTAATAAGACCCTGTGTCTGGCCCTAATAAGACCCTGTGTCTGGTCCTAATAAGATCCTGTGTCAGGCCCTAAAGAGGTCTCACAGGGTGGTGGCAATCTTTAGCATCTGTCTCCAGGAAGAACAACTCCTGGAGCAAGGAGAGCATTGAGACACCTGTGCTTTGCAGGATCGCTAGAGATGAGGAAAGGCTAGCATCATGGAGTGGACACTGATGAGGGGCAGTGCCCAGCTCTGCCCTTGGCCTCATGGGACAGCTGCCGGGGCTATTTCTGAATCCAGAGATGTCCAGAGTGCTGCCATTATATTCCATTGACAACAGCTATCCACAGTTAAACTAAATCGCACCCTGACTTGCCCAGAGAAAACTGTCCAGCTTCCTGGGAATTTCTCACAAGCTGGCTTGATGCCTTCTGGGCATGGCTGCCATTACCTGTTAAAGGCCACTCTCTGTCCTGAGGATTTGAGCATGGAGTGGGCCGAGGGGCAGACTGGGTCTGGGTTAATTGTGTTCATTTAGTGAGCACCTTCAGTTTACTCAATGCTGAGCTAAACCCTTCTCATGCCTTTTCTCACATCTCTGATTTTTCCAACAAGGTCCCTACGAGAATTTCAAAAACTCTTTGCCACTAGAAGCTCTTGCTTGGTCTTCTCCTGGAGACTTTCTCCTCATAAATGAACTAAGAAAGGTTTACTTAGTCTGCGGGGATCCATCCTGTCCAAACAGGTGGAGACAGCTGGACCACCTCATCTGTGTCCTAGCGCTGTTTTTGTTGTTCCCACAAGGTGTCGCTGTTGACACGGAGTCTTCCCCTTCTGCCCCAGGAATACTTGTCCACTTACTCAACAGCGCCCTTTCCTGAACGGAGGGGCCTTACGCTTTAGTTACAAGATGCCACCTTTTCTTGGCTTCTGTTCACGTGTGTGGTCGTGACTCTCAATGTTGCTCTGGAGTAAGGAGGCTTAGTACAGGATTTAACCATCTAGAACTTTCCAGAGCCAATTTGCTCTTGATTCTTTAAGCACATACGATTAGACCAGGACATTTGCCCAAACTCCCTTTTTACTTATCCTGGCTTTGCTTAGGGTTTTATTAGCAGAAGGATGTGGGTTCCTTCTGCCAGTGTTAAGTGCCAGAAGAGGGATGAACTAGCCTGATCAGGCATTCAGACTTCAGAAGTAGGCAGAGGGGCATTTAGATGCCATCTGTGTGCCTGTGATGTTGGACAAGTTCCTTTCCTCTCAGTTCTTGAGTCTCTCCATCTGTAAAATGGGTATTAGAATGGTAACTACTGTTCTTAGGATTATCAGAAGATGAAATGAAATGATTCTGCTCAGCACATGAAATTGTGACTATCATTGTTGATAATAGTTAACATTATTCTCTTGTATACAAACATTCTAAGTGGTATAGCTCTGGTCTGTCCATTTGCTGTACAGAGATAACTCGTGGTTACTGTGATGCTAAACACTGTGACACTGATGTGTCTAATTCAATAATGGTCACCCATGGTGGACAGTGTTTGGTGAAGCTCTCCAATTAAAACAAGCTTGGAAACAGGAGTGGCATCCCTTCCGAAATAGCTTGCCTCTGGAAACTCTATGAACTTGGAGAAATGATAAAAGTTGTACAAGTGTTCAGGTCTTTCATTCATAGGGTCACTATGAGTCGTCTACGACTCCACGGCACTTAACAACAACAACAACAACAACAATCCATTATAATGAAGATTTTGAGCTCTGGAGTCGTGGGTTCAGGGAAAAGGAATTCTTACATGTATGTATTTCCCTCCGGGAGACAAACTCTCTCTTCTCTGTGTCTTGTCCCAGGACCCTTCTCCACAAGGACCTCCACGCGCTCACGGAGGCCATGTATACTAACCTCCGCACTGTCCTGCTGGGTGATGCCACAGAGGCGGGCACTGGCTGGCATGAGATGGGACTCCTTGATTTCTCCTACAGCTCCTTGCTCAGGTGAGCTCAGGTCCTGAACCCTCCTTCCAGGGTGGTGTCCACACTTGGGCTGCTGTTAGCCAGGAGGGGTGGCCAGGTGAGCTGGGAGCACGTTATGGGTAGGTAAGCCCTTTGGGACACTTAAGGCTAAGGCTGTAAGTAAGACGTAAGACAGTGAGTGTCCAGGACCTCAAGTGCTCACCCAAACCAGCCACCATTCCCAAAAGGGCTCAGGCCTCACTAGTCACCCAGGGAGAGGTCAACAGAACAAGTCTTTAAAGACCATCTCGTCCTGTGGCTTCCAGATGAGAAAATACAATGCTGGGGGTTGAACCCCCGCTTTCACCAGACCCTGTAAACGTGTGTAGATGTTGCCCAGTGATGCCAGGCTCAGTTCCAGGCACTGGGACACAGGAGAGAATGACACAGATGCAGTCCTGAAACTTGTAGAGCTGACTCCTTAGCCAAAGTAACAGACAATAAGCCAAGAAAGAAAGAAGGTTCTGGAAGAGTGGTAAATGCGACGGTAGAGATCAAAAGATGGGCGATGATGTGGGGGCTCTGTGAGCCAGGCTGATGAGGAAAGGGCTCCCTGTGCCCACCGTGTTGAGACCTGGGGCAGTGGGAATAGCATGTGCAAAGGCCCAGGGTGGGGAGAAAGGCCCTGTGTGTCTGGAGCAGCAGGAGCTGGGGCTGGAGGGTGGAGAGCAGACCTCAGAAGTTGGCAGGAACCAAATCTTGCAGAGGCGCAAGCTCACGGGAGGAGCTGCCAGTCTGTTGCACCGTGGTGGCTCCCACCCACAGTAACGTGTTAGGAACAATGCCTGGGTGTTCCAGACACCAGCAGAGTCACCCCTGTGGCCAGGTTGCAGCGAGGCTTATAGACTGAGAGGCCTGGCAATCTGCTTCTAAAAATTAGCCAGTGAAAACCTCATGGATCCTAACAGCTGCCTGAGGTCGTGCTGGAGGGTGAGCCTTTGGGACTAGAAAGCAATTGTCTTATAAAAACACCAGGTCACTGAGTGGGTGCCTGTTCGATGCACCTGACACGACAGGAAGATGGGGAGTGGGACTCGGGGACCTGGAACAAAGTCACGGCAGCTGAGTCTGTTCAGGCTCCACGGTAACAGCTGGCGTCGTGCCAACGAGCCCCAGGTGGATCAGTACCTGGCCATTAGCACCTGTGGGTCAGCGCAGGCATCTTCAGCACCTGAGCTCTGGGCTGGGCTCGTGTTTCCTGGCTTTGGGGCTTCTCACCATTTGCAGGCCCTGAGGACAGGGACATGGATGTACATGACAGGGCAGTTTCTCCTGGCCTCAAATCATGGGATACCCTGATTACACCTTTGAGCCTCTTCTGTGCCGCCCTGGCCTCACTCAGAAAGCTCTGGCCCTCATCCATGGGACCCCACAGCAGACAGCTCTGCCCCATGTTTCCAAGGTCCCTGCTTTTTCATCTCTTATCATACCACCGCCCCCTACTCTCAGGACTCACCAGGCAGCCTTTGGCCTTCGTGGTCACAGCCTCTCATCTGAGGCGCTGGCCCCTCCCACAGTCCACCCAAGTCTCATCTCAGTGTCAGTCTTCAGGATGCCCTTTCTGACATCCTGTTCAGGAAACCCTCTATCATGACCCACATGCCCTAGCCTTTCTTCATAGCACACAGCACCACCTGTAGGTTACATATATATTTGCATGTGTCGTTATTTATCACGGAGCGCCTGGGTGGTGCAGTAGTGTGAGCTTGCTCACTGAACTGTTAGCAGTTTAAAACCACTGTGGATAACGTAGGGAGCTCTGGTGGCCTAGTGGTAAGGAATCGTGCTGCAAATGCGAAGGCAGGAGGTTTGACTCCATCACCAGCTGCTCTGCAGAAGAAAAGTCTCCTGTGTAATATGTTGTTGTGTGTGATCGAGTTGCCCGTAACCCATAGCAACCCTACATGCAATAGCTCTGAACTCTGCTCTATCCTGAGACAGTCTTACTGTCTCCGACACACCTATCCCCATTACCCCACTTACTGTATCATCTGGGGTCTTCCTCTCCTGTGCTGTCCCTTCACCCTTCCAAGCATGACATCCTTCTCCAGGGACTGGTCCCTCCAGGCCACGTGCCGAAGTATTTGAGATAGAACTTCAAAATCCTTGCCTCCAAGGAGCAGCCCTTCTCTCACCACATGTAAAGTCACACCCCCACCTTTTCCTCTGCTTCTGGTGTCTGTCTGTCTGTACTGTCTTTGTGGACCACCTGTCTACGCTGCTGGGCACTCTCTGACGTATTACACGCTGGACTCGCTTCTCTAGTCCGCTATCTTCCGGCACAGGAGCGTCAGCCCCACGAAGCAGAGGCTTTGTCTCTTCATGGCTGTCTCCCCCATGGCCAGAGCAGTGCTAGCGTGTAATAAATCCATTACTGTTGAGTCAATTCTGACCCGAAGTGGCCCTGTGGGACAGACTGGAGCTGCCCCATGGGGTTCCCAAGGAGCTCTGGTGGTGTAGGACGTTAGGTGTTGCGCTGTCAATCGGAAGGCCGTCAGCTCGAATCCACCAGCTGCTCCATGATAGGAAGATGGGCAGTCAGTCTCCTTCTGTGAAGATTGACGGCCTTGGAAACTCAGTGGTGGGTCCGTGAGTCAGAACCGACTCCACAGCGGTGGGTAGTCAGCGCAGGAGCTGACGGAGAGCACATCGGTTCCCCATGAAGCAGCTGATGGCTTCTGTTCACTGCCCTTCCGTTAGCGGTTTAACCACCGCTCCGTCCGCCTGTGGTGTAGAGCATACAGCAGGCGCTCATTCAGGCTCAGGAATGTAGAGTCCTGCCACTGCAGGATTGCCCGGAGTGTCCACCTCCCCATGTGCTTGCTGTCCCCCAGGGCCGGCTTCCTGACCCAGTACGGAGTGGAGGCGATGCCACGCACAGATCAGAGCCGGGCCCAGGACCGCGTCCACTCGGCCGACATCTTCCATACCTTCCGCCAGTTCGACCTGCTGCTCCCCAAACTGGCACGTGGTTCCTTGTCAGTGGGTGAGCATCCTGGGGGCCCTGGTGGGCAGGGGAAGTGGAAAAGACCTAGGTCAAGAGTTCAAGCTCCAGGTGAAGGCTCGGAGACAACAGCAGGAGGAAAGACAGTCCAAGTGTCCTGAGAGGTAGTAAGATCCCCATCACTGGAGGCATGTAAGGGTTAAAGAGAGGGCTTGAGGAATCTGACTCAGCATCTACCAGGGACCTGCGTGTGTGTGTGTGTGTGTGTGTGTGTGTGTGTGTGAATAGTTTTAAAAGTTTTTGCAAGTAAAATGTGTGACATTAAACCATATTTTCTTTTTAAAATTAAGCCATATATAATGTAAGAACCATAACATCTTTTCCCCTCTATCCCCACCTCCAAGTCACCTCTCCTTTTCACAGAAGCACTCACAGTTACAGCCTGGAGTAGATTCTGGAAGAATTTTCTCTATACAGACACACATATGCGTACGGGCACACACACCTATTAATTGTGTGGTGCGTGTGTGTGTGTGTGTGTGTGTGTGCACCATCAAATCGGATCTGACTGGTACAGGAGGCGATTGCCCCTCCTTCTCCAGCAGAGCTTCTGGTGGATTTGAACCACGCACCTCTGAGATTGCAGTGTAGCTTCTTGCCACTAGGCCACCAGAGCTCCCTCACGTCTATTAATTTTTATTTTCCGTTTTTAAGATTTCTTCTTTGTGTTTTTACAGAGGGGAGTAAAATTGACACGGGGTGGTGGTTCAGTGGTAAACATCTCCCTTCCCTGCGGGGACCTGGGATCAGTTTCTGGCTCAGGCACCAGAAGGGACTGTGCCAGCTCGTTTCCTACCAGATGCTGCCAATCTTCCCACTTGTTTCCCAATCTGATGGGCAGAGGCGGGTAACTCATTGCTTTAATTTGCATTTCCCTATAACTGTGTCAACTCAGAGTTATCAGTCCTCAGATCTTGGCCAATCTGATGGGGGTGGAGTAAGGCTTCTGACTTTCTACCGTGGTTCGTTCTGGCTTTCTGGCGCGGTTCTCCTGACCACCGTGCTGCCACCTCGATTACCTGTGGTACTCGATTTCCTCTTTGTGAATTGTCTGCTTCTGTTCCTGATCACTCTCGGTGGGGCCACGTGGCTCCGTGGTAGAGTTCGCACCTTCCATGTGGGAGACTTGGGTGGGTTTGATTTCCAGCCAGTGCACGTCGCGTGGAGCCACCATCTGCCTGTCATTGGAAGCTTGCCTGTTGCTACGATGCTGAACAGGTTTCTGCCGAGTCACCAGCCTAAAAGGGACTCGGAAGAAAGGTCTGGTTATTTGCTTTACAAAATCATTCTGTGAGTGTGCACTTCAACAGAACATATACTAAAACTGGAATGATATGGAGAAAATCAGCATGGCCCCTGTGCAAAGTGACACGCAAATTCGTGATGCATTCTGTATTTTTCACAATTTTTAAATTATTTTTTTGTGTGTATACCATCAAATCAGATCTGACTGGTACAGGAGGAGATTGTCCCTCCTTCTCCAGCAGAGAATCTGGTGGATTTGAACTGAGTGCCTCTGGGATTGCAGTGCAGCTTCTTGCCACTAGGCCACCACCACCAGAGCTCACCATGTTCTGTTGTGTGTTTTTTTTAAAAGACATAGCTGAGCTTATGGTGGTTCCACGTGTGCTAAGTGTTTCCATGACAAGGTCAGGTTTGCTTTACTTATTGAGGAGCAGGAAATAGTTACGACAGTATTGAAGGCACAGACACAAAATCAGAAAATGAAATTTAAAATACAGAGCTTTTTTAAGTAATAAAAATTAAAAATCATTCCATAAAATCCCGAGGAATCAGAGTGGTTCAGTCTGCAAGGGCTCATGGGGACAGTGCAGGTCAGGCTGGTATTTTATCCTGGGGTTGGATCATGGGATTGGATGAATCATGGGCCAACAGCATGAATCCAACAGCAACAAGAATAAATCACTCATTATCTTACTGAATTCTGCCATCATCCTGAAATGCTGGCATTATTATCCTCCTTTTTCAGATGAGGAAAGTGAGGCTTAGAAAGGCAAAGGCACGTCTCCTAGAGGTACAACTGGTATGTGGTGGTGGTCGTGTGCCATCGAGTCGCCTGTGACTCATAGCGACCCTATGTACAAGAGCTCTAAACGCCGTTCTGTCCTGTGCCAACCTCGCTGTCTCAGACACACTCATTCCCACCATTCCACTCACAGACTCGATCCATCTCAGCGAAGGTCTTCCTCTCCTTCGCCACCCCTCCTCTCTGCCAAGCACGACGTCTCTCTCCAGGGACCAGTCCCTCCTTGCAACATGCCCAAAGTATGTCGGACGAAGCTTTAGAATCCTTGACTCCAAGGAGCATTCCGGCTTCACCTTCTCCAGGTAGAGTCGGCAAAAATGGAAAATTGTTGGCAAAATCATGTGTATGGAATAACTGGCATATATTGCTCAATAATTTCCTACACCGTTGCTTCTTCAAGAAAAACTGGGCTTCTCCATTGTCCAGTTTCTCATACAGACACCCCCAAGGGAGTGTGGGTAGATACAGAGAAGAAAGGACCCCTCCCTCATGTTTTCAGGGAGCTTCCCTGGGCTGATAGGGAACCTGCACTTACCAGTGTGGACAGCAGGTGGCAGCATTTGGGCAGATTTAGCATAAAAAGTTGGTGTCTGAACAGTGTAGACAGAGGACTTGGAGACTTGGCTGGAGGGCATAAGAATGGTTCAGCCTCTTCAGAAAACCTGTCAGAATGAAGCTTTGTTTCTCATACTCCCGAACGTGTTGCTAGGTAAGGCTACTGCTTGGAAAGGGACATCATGCTTGGAAAGATGGAGGGTCAGCGAGGGAAAGGAAGACCCCTTGAGAGATGGATTGACACGGTGACTGCAGCAAAAGGGGCCAAGTGTGTCAGAGACGATGAGGATGGCACAGGGTAGCACAGGGTTCAGGTCTGTTGTTCACAGGGTCGCTATGAGTTGTACGTGACTCCATAGCACCAAACAACAACAATCAGAACATGAAACTCACATCCCTTTGAGCCTGTACTTCCACTGCCGGGCATTTGCTCTACAGAGATACTCACACATGTCCACAGAGACACGATGATGCTCATTGTCACATTGCTTTTAATAGCAAATGCCAGGAACAACCTCAATGCTCACCATTAGGGACTGATTGACACATTCATATCAATAAGACCATTGCCACTGTAGGGAAAAAAATGGGATGTTGCAAGGTGAAATCTTTATCTGAGGTGAAATATACTATTAAGGAAAAGAACAAGATGAACCCCAGTGGGTGTAGCATGCCTTCCTTGGTGAGCTGTTTGTTTTTAAATGTAAAATGTGTATGTTTTTGCCTCAAGGACAACAAGAAGCCTGGCATATTTTTGGTAATATTACTCACTTGAAATGTTTATGTTTCCTTTTTACTTTCTAAAACACAATTTCTTTCATTATTGTTGAGAATGTATACAGCAGATTATATGCCAATACCACAATTTCTTTACGGCCAATTCAGGGACATTGATTATGCAGCTTAACGGGTGCCACCACCCTCACCTCCCTTTTCCAAATGGCTCTACCTTCATTGATATGCTCGTGGCCGCGTGAGCATTGCTAACTGTTGCTGTTGCCAGTTTGATCCCTTGCTTTATTTATTTATTATTATTGTTATTATTATTATTATCATTATAACTTCACCTTATGCATCTGATTTTTCTACTTTTTTCAAATATAAACACATTTTCTGAGAGAGTCGGTCCTTTGGGGGCCCTGAGACCATGTGTCTGGAGCCTTTTCCAGGATATTAGGCTCAGCATCCTGCTGCCTTCTGGAAAGGTGGCTTATTTGCGAGTTACTCCACTTGAATATTGCTTTTTCTATTTTTTTAAAGCAGTCTTTTACTAAAGAATCACAGAGTCTAATGCAAACATCTAATGGATTTGAAAGTAAAGCATAAGGCTTTAAGGGCATGTGTCCTCTGGGGGACTCTCCTGGACTCTGTTCCCCGCCAGATCTCCCAGGGCTGTAGGGGGTTTTCCAAGGAAAACATTGAAAGATACTCAAGCCTAAACAAATGGCAGTAACAGAAAATGAATCGTCATCATCCTCCCAGCTCATAATGATTCGCCGAAGAATCTCTGATACCATGAATCTTTGAGGGAAGAGACTCCTTCACCTTTCTTTCTTGACGATGTCGGTGAATTCAAACTTCTGACCTTTCTGTTAGCAGCCCAGCACTTAAGGCACTTTGCTGTCAGGGCGCCTTTACTCAAGCCTCACTTTGCAGATAAGACTCATCAAAAGCCTGCGTTATGCAGATGATACAATCCTGCTTGCTGAAACTGAGGAGGACCTGAATCACTTGCTGCAGAGGTCAAGGACTGCAGTCTTCAATATGGATTGAAGCTCAACATCAAGAAGATAGAGATTCTCAACACTGGGCCGATTGGCAGCATCATGATAGACTGTGAAGAGACTGAGATTGTTGACAGCTTCAGTTTGCTTGGCTCCACAATCAACACTCTTGGTACCAGTTGCCAGGAGATCAAAAGATGAATTGCATTTGGGAAATTCTGCTGTCAGGGACCTCTCCAGAATACTGAAGAGCAACAGTGTCAGTCTGGAGATTAAGGTGTGCCTGATCTAGGTCATAGTCTTCGCAATTACTTGCTATGCATCAGAAAGCTGGACAATGACTAGGGATGACAGAAGGAGAATTGATCCCTTTGAGCTGTATTTCTGGAGAAGAGTATTGAATATACCATGGATTGCCAGGCGAACAAACAGGTTCGTCCTAGAGAGGGTGAAACCAGACAGCTCTTTAGATGCAAGGATTTTGAGGCTTCGTCTGGCATACTTTGAGCATGTTGCAAGCAGAGACCAGTCCTTGGAGAAGGACATCATGCTTGGGAGGGTGGGGGTACAGTGCAAGAGAGAAAGACCTTCGATGAGATGGATTGATTCAGTGACTGGGGTAAAGAGAGTAGGTGTGTCAGAGACAATACGGTTGGCACAGGATAGAGCAGGGTTCAGAGCTATTGTACATAGGGGTCGCTGTGAGTCACAAGCAACTCAACAGCACGTAACAATAGCCCAACATATGTAATAAAACCAGTTGTTGTTGAGTTGATTTTGACTTACGGTGACACCATGTATGTATATCTACTATTGTTTTATTCCTTTATGGCAAAGTTCATTGCTATCCTTCACAAGTTCTTTATTCCCTTAGCAATTTGTTCCTTGTGGGCTACGAGTCAACAATTCTTATTGTCATCAAGTTTTAATTGGCTCATAGCTGAAGCTCTATTGGGTTTCCAACGGACTAACTCAAACTGGAGATTACTGCCCTTTTTCCATTGGAGCCACTTGTGGGTTTGAACTACCAGAGGTGTCACCTTGGTGTCATCAGCTCCACTCCCTGTGGACTTGACACTGGAGCTCGAAATCCCCTGCCTGCTTGCTGAGTCCTGTTCACAGGGACCCCTGTGGTGTTTCCGCGGCTGTAAATCTTACCAGGTTGTGATTATTTCATCTCTCTCCCTTGGACCAGCTGGTGAATCTGAACTCCTGATCTCTCAGTTAACAGCCCAACACTTAATCCTCCCGGGCCACCAGCATTCATCTGTCTGTCCCTTAAAGAGCCTCCTTTCTCCACACTGCTGCCTGACTTCAGAGCACAAGGACATCATAGTTCATTGCAGGGGGTTGTGGGCAGGTGCTCCATGGGCCACTGTTAACCTGCAGAGAACTTAACACTTTCTTGGTTGGATAAAGAAAAACAAACTTAGTGCTGCCCGGTCAGAACTGACTGACGACGGATCTCCCAGTGGGTTTTCAAAGACTGTAAATTGCGTGGGAGACCATTGCTCATCTTTCTCTTGAGGAGTAACTGGTGGGTTCGAATCGCATGCCTTTAGACTCGCAGTGCAGCTCCTAATCCCTGGGCCACCAGGCACTCGTGTTGAGGAGCATCAGAGGATCCCAGCTTTTCACAGCGTGGGCCCTCTGTCTGTGGCTGCTTCTCGTTTGTGCCAGGGGACGGGGCCTGTTGGTGAAGCTGAGTAGCCTTTCCCTGACCTTCCTCTCTTGGCCACCTGCCTTCCCTGGAGATAATAGAACGCCCCAGCTTGGCTGAGCTGAGCCGGCCCTGTGGGGACTGGGACCTGGGATTGGACTCTCGGAAAGGGGGCTGCTGCTCCACGTTTAGTCCTCTTCCCTCTGCTCTGTAAAGAAACACTGTTCACTTAAATATTTATACAGCACCTGCCATAGACCAGGTGCTGGGGATGCAGGAGAATTAATCACATAAAGGGCCTCTCTCCCCAAGAGACCAGACCCCTTGTCCCTTCCCATGGGGGTGAGACAGACTCTGTAAGTCCACATTGGAAGGGCTCCCCACTGAGGTCCCTAGAAGGCCTGTCCCTGCAAGGAGCGCCCCCATATGGAGTGGCACCCAGATGACCATTATGGAGGTGGACAAGGTGGCCCTGGGCTGAGGAGGGATCTCCACCCCTTAACCTCTGTGCTTTGTCCCTGCAGGAGATAAGGACCGTGTGAGCAAGGTCAAAGGTCGTCTGTGGGATCTGCTGTCCCCTTCCAGACTGGCCACCCGGGCCCACCGGAGCGCCTGGCTGGAGAGTTACCTGCTGCACCTGGAAGAGATGGGTGTGTCGGGAGAGATGCAGGCCCGGGCGCTGGTGCTGCAGCTCTGGGCCACACAGGTGGGCACGTGCAGGTGTGGACGTGCAAGCACGTGGAGAATGTGTGCTTGTGTGTGTGTGTGTGTGTGTGGTGGGAGGTGTGTGGGTGCGTGCATGGGCTTGTGTGCGTGTGCACGGATGCCCATGGGGGGGATTTAAGTGCCTGCTCTCATGTCAGTGTACATTTGTAAGTGTGTGCTGGTGTGGGCTTGTGTGTTCACACCCAGATCTCTGACTACTTCTATTTTTTTAAAATACTTTTTATTGGGATTTGAGTGAACATTTACAGAGCTGATTGCTTCTATAACCAGCCTTTTTAACTGTCAAACAGCATCATAGACAGAAGCTGTCCTTGATGAACTAATACGGAAATTTAAATGGAAAAATTAATATGGAAAAATGTCAAGGTTACAGAAACTGTGTATGTCTAATTCCATGGGCCATTCTACGCTCCAGATTTCCCCAGTTGTTACAGTTGACCACATTTGCTGTCTCTCTCACACACACACATTCTTGCTAAAACTACTTTGAAACGTTTGACATGATGACGCTTTGGCCCTCATTTCTGCAGCATGAGCCCCCCAGGGACTTGGTCACTCTCTTAAATGGCCACTGTGGGTTGACGGCATGCGTACAGGGCGACTTCCCCAGACCCAGGGCTGTCATCTAGCGTCCGGTCCACATGCCACTTCTCCCAGCTGTCTCAGTCATGTCCCTTCTGGCCCGTCTTGGCTCGAGAGTCAGTCCAGGATCACACGCTGCCTCTAGTCACCCTGCCTCCTTCGTTTACTTTCATCTGGAAGTTTATGTGCTTTTCTTTGTTTATCCTGACCTTGACATTTTTTAAGTGGACAGCCTGGTTCTTTTGTAGGATCATTTGAAAATTCCATCGAGTGCTTGGCCACAGAATGTAAGGCCCAGGTCCAGAGTTGTTTGCGTGTTGGTCAGGAACAGGGCAGATGGTCAAGAAGACAGGGTGATTTCAGATGCAGATACGCTGAGTAGAAAATGCAGTCTTTCATGGGGAGATCCTGAGATGTGCTCTAGTCAGAGCGACGAGGGAGGCCTCACTGAGGAGGGGATATTTGAACTGAACCCGGAATCACAGAAAGAGTCAGATGATGGAATTGAAGAAGGGAGACGTTTGGACAGTGAAGGCAGCCCGTGCAAAGGTCCTGGGGTCAGGTCACACCTGGTGTTTTGGAACCAGGAGGCACGTGTGATTGAGGAGGAGTGTGGTTGAGGGAAGAGATGTCTTGGCTTTTTTCCTGGGAAGGTGGCCATCTTGGGAGTGTTGGAACAGAGGAAAACCAGAGTCTGACTTTAGTTTTAACCAGATCCCTCTGGCCGCTGCAGAGGAGTGAGGGCAGAAGTAGGAACCACACTGGGGAGGCGCAGAAGCGGCCCAGGCGATAGGGATGGTGCAGGACTAAGATTGCCGGGGGTAGGGTGGCATCCAGGGAGAGGTGGGCAGATTGAAGATGCACCAGATTTTGAAGACATATTCCTTTTTTTAAAAAAATAATTTTAATGAACATTTACAGAGATTTTGGATTTCCATTCATTCATTGATTCATTGTTGCACTTTTCTCCCCATCCACCCCCCCACCCCCAGTTCGCTCTTCTCTTTGAAAAGTAAAAGAAAAATTCCTTTATTGGTATATAATCCCCCACCCCAAGTATACTCCACTCTGCAACTTTCATATTCTTAAAAAAATGAATGTAAAATATTTTTATAGTGGTTACAGGTTGAAATGATAGTTTAGACATCTGGTTTAAATAAAAGAGTATAAAAATTAAAAAATAAAAGGAAAGCATAATCAGCAGGTTTAGTAAGGACCCAGGGGTTGGGGTTGAGGAAGGCGCTGACTGCTCTGCAGGTGCCCCAGCCTGGTCCGGTCCTCACCCCATTTGCACGTCCCCTTCTTCTCTTGGCCCCACCTGTCCAGGGACAGTCGGCCAGGTTGGCTTTCTGAGTAAATCCTCTCCCATCGACTCGTGCCTTATTTTTAGTTTTCTCTTAGAGCCATTAGGCATTAAGGCCAGTGAGAGGCGGAGCTGCGTTTAATCTGT